GCAACGCGGGACGCACGCCGATCATTGACGAGTGAAAGTTTCCACAACACGCTCCTGAAACGTGCCCGGTAGGGTATGACGCCGGAGGAGGCCGGACCAAAACCGCGGCGCAGCCGTGACGCGACGCAGACGGACCCGGTGGAATCGAGGGGTTATAGTCAACGTTGGATCATTCTAATTTTTGATTTATAATTTGTGATATTTGAGAGAACAGTTGATTTAAAATTAGACAGATTGGTCACCATCAGTATTTAGAATCACGGTGTAACATCACATCATGTTTGCTCATTTACCCATGTTAGGTTGTTTATCAGGTTTATGGTATATGTTTGATGTTTAGTTTATAGTCTATGTTTAGCCGTGTCTCCTTGTTCACTTACAGTCACATATGTCTAGTCTGGTCATGCACTGCCTGTCATTGAACTTCCTGTTTTATTTTGTACTTACTGTACCTTTCCTTCTCCTTTCAGAGCCCTTTACTTCCTGCCAGTGAGATTATTGGCCCCTCCCTTGATTGTTGCCACCTGTGTTCCCCTTACCTCTTGTATAAATAGTCCTCCCTTTGTCCTGTGCCACTTCGTCTTGTTTCATGCTAGTCAAGAGATACAGCAATGCAAGCAAAGAACCATTGTGAAAATATTGTGTATTAATAGTATGTTGTTTTTGCAGCTTGCTCTGATACGTGTTGCCTCATAGAAGAGTGATTTGTTGTTGTGAGTTGTTTGTTCTTTAACTAAAGACTTTCTGATTTGTTAACCTTGTCGTGCATTTGAGTACACGCATTTTGTGTTGTTTTCTTAACACACGGATGAGCATGATCTGACAATAAGAGCTCTATATGGTATCTTTACCACATGTTCTCTTCAGCATGAACACAGGAGCGAAGCCTGAGCCAAAGGCTTTATGTTCTGACCATCGAAGGATCAACATGTGGGTCCCATTTAACATAGAATACACACACACACACACAGCTATGTCTTTTTCAGTGAAAGATGTCATAATTACCCAACACTTCCTCTGAGACTCCCCCACCCCGTCTGCCAGGCTAGGTATTGGGTTGCTAATGGCCTTTTACCCACTAATGTACGCGCTGGAGGGGACAGTAGTCAATGGTGGGCTGAAATATTAATATTTACCAGCCATGAGGGGGTCAAGGCGGAATGGATTAGGCCATCTTTAATAAAACATGTCACCACCAAAGAGACCACTCCTTTGTGATCTCTCCATTTCTGTTACACTCACAACTAGATTTATGAACGTTTTATAAATCTTTGAGGGTTTTTTGTCCGTCTAAAAAGAACTTAGAGAGCTTGGCAGTTTAATTGGAATGGTGTAATCACTTTTATCCTTAGGCACAGGGGATAAATCAATAGACTATAAAGTCATGGTTTGCATTGTGGGCTGAAACATGGCTGTAAATGATTAGTGTGGTGTCTGGAGGGTTTAAAAGCCTTTACACATAATACCTAAAGTATCAGAGTTTTATATGATTGCTTTTAGACATTACATGCACCACACAGAAGTGCTCAACATTATTGTGAGGGAGGGTCTGGCAGAGCAGGTCATGGGGGTATTGTCAATGATTTCTACTGGAGAAAGATGTGTAACAGCAAAGCATCAAGGGGACAGAGAGGGTTACTTACACACAGTATATGTACATACATGTGGAAGCTGCTTCACTGAAGGTCATCCATCCAAATGTGGGGGGGATATGGCTGGGATGAGGATTACATGGGATAATGTACTGAGACTCCAGTCAACTGAAGGGCATTCCTGTCTGTATACAGGTGTACCTCAGATGTGGAAGAATTCTTAGGAAACATTTGTGAAAATCCCCAACATCTGAGGAGATGGAAACCTATTGAAAACCATTGGCAGTTCTATCACAGGGCTGGCAATTCTGGCATACCAGAAAAAGCGAGATTGTCTCTCATACTGTGTGACCATAAGTGTAGTATGGTTATTTTAAGTCCTTATTTTATTTAGCAAAAGATAAAAGCTGGGTTGTGAGTGAGGTGATGGAGGCATTTGTTGTTCTTTGCGGAACTCCAAGCTTTCACAGTGTTGAAGGAACTCTCATTCCAAGAGCTAAGGTTCAGTAAAGGGTTATTTCATAAAAATAGGAAAGCGTATTAGTTGTGTTGTGTCAGTTGTACTGTATACAGTACTTACAATATGTTGGGTGGAAATTATATCGGGTATACTGGATCTGTTTTTTCTGGTGTGCTAGTTTCTTCTTAACACTGGTAGGTTAGTTTCTATAATGTATGTGCAAGGGCTGTGACAGACCTGCCCATTGTGAGCTCCTCTGCCCCAAAATTGCAAGGGATGTGGTGTATGAATGATATCACTTCAAGGAAAGGTAGCACTGTCTTCAAGATTCTGGTGGTTAGACAGGAACACAGGCTGATTGCATAATTATGGTTTCTAAAGAAAACGATGCAAACAGCCAGCTGTACCTGTGATGAAGTCAGTTCTCAGACAAAAAACATTCATCTTTCCCATGTCTGAAGAATTCTGTTGAGCTGCAGGCTGTGCTCTGAGAATCATGAATAAGAGCACATTTTAGTCTTTAACACTGCAGACAAATCTGTTTTGAAAACATGGAAAAAGGTCAGGGAGGAACAGAGAGACCAGCCGTCAGGATAGAGAAAAGGAGATAGCTTTACTATAAAGAAGGCGTCGCTAGCAGAAGATGCAACATCTCATCATACACGCATACAAGGTGAATATATTTATGTCATTTTCTGTTGAGTATGTACCTTACAAAAGCTGTTATTTTGCATGTTGAAGAAGCAAGACTTTGACGAGCTGCTCTGATACATATGGTAAAAGCAAGAAGATGCTAACATGAGAAATCATTTGAAAAAGCCAGACAGCATGTGATCAATCATTGACAAATCTGGTATGTGCAGTCAAATTGTACACTGTGCAGCAATTTAGAATGAAAAGAAACACAAAGCTGTAAAACTGCACATCTCCCTCCCCCCCCGTTAAAGGTGAGCTGAGATGATGCAGACAGTAAGAAGAGAGTCAACGTGCACAACAGGAAAAAAAGCACTGCAAATATGCATAATTCTCTTTTCTTTATAATATAGCCTGTTTTAAAACCTTTCCCCACCGTGATCCAGTTGGGGGGGAAAGAGGAAAGGCCGTGTGGGAAGAGGGGGTGCAGGGGTCCAGACCTAACCTGGAGGAAAACTGTGAGAATGATTCCAGTGAGAAAGTTTGGACCCCACGTTGGATCTCTCTTTTTCTTGGCTTTCTTCTAGTTCAGCAGCGTCTCCTGTGTTTGCCAGGATGGCTGTGTACTTAAACTAACAACATCAGAACCAACATACTGACAAATAATGGCTTTAAACTCATTTAAACTCAGAGGATGATCTATGAGTTTCTGAGACAGGGGGAACATTTTTGGAACAGGGTATAAATGACAGAATGTTTTTTGTTTTTTTTAACGGGTGAGAAATGCAAGGCCAGTAATGTTTTCAAATGGCTGCATCACCTATCGTTTTTCCAACCCAGTTAACGTTTAACCACGCTCACTTCGGCATGGACTTATAAAGAGAACGGTGCAGCGTTAGAGCAGTAGAATCGGACAGCTACAGTCCATTCATTGAGCATCTTTTTCAAAGTAGATGAAAATAGCGTTTTACTTTTTTCTATATGAAAGAAGATCACAGTTATGCATAGCTGAGTAAATGTTAATAGTTTTTTTTAACACTGTCAGAGGATAACAAATATTCCGTTACTCCAACGTTATTCACTTAGACTGGGACGTCCTCTTTTTATGTCCATCACGCGCAGAGGGAGGTTAGCGTGGTTAAATCTGAACTGGGTTGGGTAAACGCACCGGGACACATGTTCCGTGTTAGGGACCTCCTCCTTCAAAGTCTGAAAATGAATATGACCTAATGGATCCACAACGTCTGTTCTAACAAGACCCCTCTAAAGGAGCCAAGAACCGCAGACTTCTTAAAAAAGGTTGAATTGATTGTGGGCCATGAATTCTCATGTTTCATTGTTTAAATTGACAACTTATTTAGGATAAGTTGACTAATGTTAAGCCACTACAGATACAATAATGACTCCACTGGAAGATCACGCAGACTGCGTGGGGCCTCTTCTTGCGGAGGGAGCCTCAACTGAGCCGCAACTGCGGCGCACCTATGCGTTTATGCGACGCAATTAGTGTGACGCTGCGAGGCTCCACTAGCACCCCCCCCCCCCCACCGACGCTCACGAAACAGAGGGCCTCATCATCTAACTTAGCGTGGGGCCTCAAGTTGGCCAGGGACGGCCCTGTAAATATTTATATATATTGTTTTCTTTTTATCCTTTGCAATGAAATACTGAAACGTTGACTTTAATTAAATGTATTGGTATTAGGTTAGTTGAAAGCAATAATATGAAGTTGAACCAATGTTTTTCATTTCAACTTAATATTATTGCTTTCTACTAGCCTAATCCAGTTATGTGAAATCTGTTGACATAATACATTTAATTAAAGTCAACGTTTCAGTTTGGTCAGTGTAACCTTCAGTCATTGAGGAGGCATCTGAAAGGGGACCAGTGAAGCAACAACAGGCTGTAAAGGTGAGAGGAAGTCTGCGGTCTCAGAGAGATGACCAATGCAAAACGGTTTCAAGCAGGGGAGTGTGATCTAATACCTCAGCAATGTTCTTTTTAGGCCTACTAAAACTGTGCTACTACTCTGGAGCACTTCTGTCTTATTTACATCTTACAGAATCTAACATATTCCTCACAATATACAACCCAAACCATCATCAAACGATGGACTGATAACCTGCCACAGTCAGCACCGTACATCACAAAGCAAAGGGCAACATTGAGTGGAGGATGATTCTTGTTACTTTTTTCAGAGTGCAAACGTTAGTCAAAGCTACTCTACAGAGGTGCGTGACACACCGAGTTGCACCTGTCACATTTGCTTGCTGGATACACATTTGTGACTTTTAGTTTCCTTTTCGGATAAAGCATTTTTTGGGGAAATCGACTTTTATATATTTACAAATATAAGAGATCAGGACCTACATGTACAGAAAATATGTCAAATAAATAATAACTGTGTGGTGGGAAGGTTAAGGTACATACATCTGAAGTAAAACACAGAGTACCTGTAATACGACATGAGTACGAGAAGAGCAGCACAATGACAGATAAACAACAGCCATGACAGATATTCTCATGTTGGAAAAGCTGACACAAATATCTGAAACATACACTTGTGTTTATGCTTCTCATGAACAACAACATATTCTGGAGACATCTTTATTCTGGCTATTTCTGGCTATGAAACAACAAAATAAGTTGGTAAGAAATATGTATATAACAATTAATTAAATGAAGGACTTATATTAATACTATCCACATAATGTAATAAATAGAAATATAAAATAAATATTTAAAATAAAAAGTGAACTGCAGTCGCTAACTGCTGTTAAGATCTTTTGATTTAGCATCGGAGGTTTTAATAGTACTGTTGAGTAGCAAGTCTGAGTGCCGACATGATGAGCTGAATAGAGAAGCACTCAGTGCACGTTTAGTCGAACATAAAGTCAGTCCATCGGTGAGCTAACAGAAGGGCAAACATGGTTGTAGGCAAGTGAAATACTGAGTGGACATACTTCTTTTCTTTTTTCTTTCTTCCTCAGCAAAAACTAAAAAACTAGCGGAAACGTTTCATCTCAACGGTGGCTGTGAATTTAATGTATATATTTTCATGCTGTAAATTCAAGTATTCTTGCGCTAGTGCCTTTTTTATCGGTAATGATTGACAAAATAATCGAGTTTAAAAACTAGAGGGAGGGAAATATTATTGGATTCCTGTGTAAAGGTGGGTTCAGACTGACATTTCAGAGGGGGTGATTGAATACAAAATCAATGCACAAATTAAATAATCCAAACGTGTCATTCAGCAAAACGTTGTGTCTATTTTTAGGCTTAATGACTCCAACTCATAAACAAAAGACAAACAAAAAGGTCTGGAGTAACAAAGAGAACTGCAGGTCAGTGCATGTTACTCTAATGTTTTTAAAATGGCTTTTTAAGGCAAATAAACTCAGAATGCAAAAAGAAAGAAAAACAAAACACAATCCATACAGATGGTAAAATAAATAAAACATGTAGTCTGAACACACCTCAAGGATTCCTGGCTCTCAAGCTGCATTCATGTCCCATTGGGTAAAAGTACATTTAAGCGTCCAACTTGAAAACATGACTTGGCTTACACGTAATCAACACTCATTGGGATCTTTGCGATTTGGGCCTAAACTTCCAGAATGAAGGTGTAAATGTTAAAAATATTAATATAGGTCATTTGGAATATTTATAAATAAATAAAAAGCAATTGTAACTTGTTTTATTATTAGCGTTGACATTGCAATGTTTTGTTTGGTGCAAAATTACTTTTAAAAAGTACTGTGTGTAGTAAATAGTAAAACAGAAACATGTTCACTGTCAGCCGACAGTTGTCCCCATGTGACATGAATGCAGAGTTAGCATGAATGCAGAGTTAGCATGAATGCAGAGTTAGCATGAATAGAGAGTTAGCATGAATGCAGAGTTAGCATGCATGCTAACTAGGGGATTGACTCGGTTGAGGTCTACCGTTTTTCTCAGGCAAAACTAACTTTCCTCTCGTTTGCCTTCCATGTTCCTTGCTCTAAGCTACTACCATGCTCCAAAATAGTCATTCTTAAAAAAAAGGGGATTCATTAACAACATACTTTAGCAGAGCTTGGTGCTTGTGGCAGAAATAGCTTTTCTTGTGGCGGCCATTTTGAACATCTGCACTATAATATTGGATTAGAGGTAAGAAAAACGTGTTTTCTCCATCGAACAAGGCAAAGTGAATAAAAGCATGTGATTTAGTTTGCAAGTGGTAAAAAAGAAACTCAAAACGTGTACTTTTACTAACCAGATCAAACCCAAAATGTTATGAAGGAGGTGATAGTGCATAGTTTTGCAGGGCACTAAAATGTGTGCCAGGACTGTATACAGCACTCATTAAGAATTAATGACTCGTCTACCAGCTGTGGAAAAACTAAACTCTTTCATTGCGTAAATATCAATATGATAAACATATCTGCGGGCATCCTGTTGAGTTTGATGGTTAGAAGCTGATATGTTACAGGACGTGTGTGCGTAAGGGACCTCGTGTGTGTACTTTACTGGGATGCTTCACAGAGGTTTTTGAGGGGCGAATCAGGAAGGAGAGCAGGGACGCTGAAAATATTTGGAGCAGAAACCAACCAAGGTCAAATCTCTAAAGAACGCTTGTCAATGCCTCCACGTGCTGAAGGCTGCTCCCAAGTCTGTGTAGGGGCAGGCGGAGCAGAGGAAAACGAGCAGTGTCCTCTTTGTCCCAACGTCACCTCCAGTGGGCCCATTTCTTCCAGCTGGAAACTAGAATAAAGGCTTGTGGTCTGATTCCACTCCTGTTCCCCCGATACTGCAGAGGGAAGCCTGCAGTGTCCAGACAGGCCGCTGCGTCCCTTCTGTGTTTAATGTGTTTCATATATTAATATATTCACGTGTGTGTGTTTGTGTCTGGTGTATTGTGTTGTGGTTTGTGGTAACACCCTGAAATCAGAGGGTGCCACCGCGTCCCCCGGGTGGTTCTACGGCGCTACGCCAGCGAGTAGATGGCGTTGACGGGCGAGGTGGCCTCAGAGCTCTCGTTGCCCTCCGTTTCGTCCTTGTCCTTCTTCACCGTGTACTGGCCAATGAAAGAGCCGTCCTCGTTGAACTGGCCGTCGCCGCCCTCTCCGTAGTCCACCAGGCTGTCGTCGCTCTCCTTCACGTTGCCGTCCAGAGACGTCTGGCTGCCCTGCAGAGGCTTGTTGTCCTCGTCGCTGCTGTAAAGGTGAAGCAGAGTTCAAAGTTAAAATGGAAGCAGGAAGTTGTCATGGTGTGAGCAGGAAGTGGAGACCCGGTCATCCCGTCGGCACAGGTTAGAGGGGAAAGTGAAAGGTTATGGGGGTTGCAGGTAAAGAAATGATATTAACTCTATATTTTCAGCTTTTCAAACTCTTACTGAAGTGACTGTATGTTCAGGTCACTCTGACTATAATTCAGATTTATACAATTCATTTCTTTTCCATATTTTCTTTAAAGGATAGGTTTGAATGATTTAAAATCTATCAAAATACAGTACGCACATGGTGTTGGTAATGTGGACGTGTCTCTGTATGTATTCCTCCTAACCATAAAGGCCACAGAGCGTCATACTACTGGTGTGTGAGTACTGTATCAAGATAGAGCTCAGAAAATCCAAACCTACCATTTAATAAGATAGCTGCGTTTGTATTTTATATCAAAGATGCTTGTTGTTGTAAAATGTAAAGAATATTTTAGAGAACATTATACATATTTGTTTTACAAGCAACCCTGTCTCCTAGAAATTCTGTTCATAGAAATCTAAACTTGCACCAATTTGTTTTATTAGAAATGCGATTGCCAGGATAGTTATGTTTCTCTTTATCAAACGGTTTACTGTTTCATATGTCCTTACCTAATCCCTACAGTAAGCCTAACAACGCTGTATTATCTAAGATTAGCTGTGACTTCTGTACAAAATATTTAAAACACACTTCCTAGACTGGAAAACACAGTGCCAGTGAAAATATTACGTACAAGATATTTGGCAAAGTGAATGAGTGAACATACAGAATTTGGTAGGAGACAGGAGCGATTCAAAGACATAAATACTGTGGTAAAGATTCAAACAAGAAATGTGCATACACATGCTAAATGTGGCCATATTCTGACATGAGATCCAAGCAGTAGAAATCATTTGCACCTCATCTGTAGAGCTGACTACAGATGGCTCCTCACTCTGACTTTAGAGGAAGAGAACGTCATGCACAGGAAGTAAGAGCTACAGGCTAGCATTAGCTTTCCTTTCCAGCTCAGGTCAGTAGCATAACAGCAGGAAATGCACTTAAGGATGCAGAAGTGAAACATTTCTCCTTTTGTTTCTTTTCTCCGCTCAGGTCTGCTTATAGCATATTATGGTTATCATATTAACTATCCAGATTCCCATGGGGGAACAGAACAGAATGTACACTGAAGCTTCTCAGATTCATCATGCTCCATGCGGAAACACTTCGGGAACCACAGACATCACATTTTAGAAACCATACCTGTGTTTAAGTACAAATGGACCACAATCACATTCTGACAAACTTAGAATCTAGCAAATTCAACCCACATCCAGTGTTTGTTGTATAAATCCACAAAAAAACTTTAGCAGAAAGTAGAACTGCGGACGCTGTCTGAACACATGCGGACATCTGACAAGGTGGAGAGATGAAAAGGTGAAGAGAGTGGGAGTTGAGCATAACGTGGGTGGGGGGGGTAAGAACGTCATCTTAAAATCATTTAGAATGTTAATTAGTCATGAAAATCCCTTTCTATTTAACACAAATCTTGGAGCAGCTTTGGCTGTCTGTTAGCACGTGAAACGACAGAAGCATAGCGCTATAGAACCAGCAGAAATGTGTCACGCACTGCCACGTTTGTTAAGGAAGAAAGGTTATGCCACTAAAGATGCCCAGAGCGCCTGTTACTGTATACACAGTCCAGTGTGCTGGCAGGTACAAAGTCTTTCTGTGTTTTCATATCCTTTGAGTGTGCTTCTGTCTGTACCAGTGCCACTGAAACACTTCCAGATAACCTCTCTCACAGCTAATCAAACACATCTGGTCAATAGGAAGGGACATCTTTAAACCGCTTTCCCTAGACTCATAGACCGCACACACTTTAAGAGAGAAACTGTTATAAAGTGACTTGGAAATGTTTTCAGAAGGAAAGAGTCGGGAATGATTCTATTATGTGATTAGGTGACTTTAAGAGCAAAGATGGGTGGAGTAGGATGGGAGTGGGTGAATAACCTTTCAAAATAGAAAGTCAAATCGCCCACTTTCAGCGTTCATGAAATCCCAGGAAAATGACACAGATAACATAAATATAGAGTTTGAAAGCCGTTGACGATACAAATCATCAAGTAGTTTTATATGATCCATTATTGGATTAACTATGCTTTGGAATGCTTTTCATTGATAGATCAAGTTCATTCCGATGATAACACATTGGAATGGCTCTAACAGACATTAAGCAATTAAAATGCACAGCAAATCAGCAGATCATATTAGAGCTGGTTAGGAGGACTCAGGGGGAGACTCTTCTCCTGTCCTACCTTTCAAGAGACCTTTGGACCAATGAGAACATAAAAAAGAGACAAAGGGCACAGACATAAAGTGGGAAGGGTAGAACAGAAATACAGTCATGACAGATGGACAACAGACATGTGACATACACAGATATACTACTGTAAAACTGAAAAGGGACAACATTAACATGTATATATATTTTAGGGTGGCAGTTAATACATTTAAATTGTCATAATCCTAATGGCATGAAACCAAAACAAAGGTTTGAGCTTTGGGGCAGCATAGCATGTGTCAGGGCCATCTTTTTCCTCCTTTTACAACTTGGGTCTCATTTTTGTGGTTCTGGCCATCAATTGCTACCAGGTATAACAACACTGTAGGCACCAGCTGTTCAGATAGAGGGAATTCACAACAAACGAAGTTTGGCGGGGCAGGTAACCCCAGCAGTCACACGGATTGTGGCAGCCCAGGATGCCATTGTGCGATTAAGCGCCACATCATTCGTGGTGTACAAGCACATAATCTCCATGTTCTTGTCTGACAACAGAGGCCTGTACTACGAAGCAGGATTTTCGCTTAGCGGCTAACTTCAGGGAAAACTGTGGGTTTCCGGTCCTACGAAGCTGGTTCTCTTTTTAGCAGGCTAGATCTCCATGGTAACTTATGCTTAGCGGCTAACCTGGTCGGGACCAGGTTAGGTTGCAGAGCTCAACTCAGTGAAAGCACTGCCTGCTGACCAATCAGAGCTCAGTGTGCGGCGTTTAAAGCGATCAAGTCATATTACAGGAGAAAGGAAATACAGAAAAGCTGCCGTCGCAGGAAAGACGGCCGGAAAAAATCAGCGACTGTGTGAACGTGAACATTAATAGAATATCACCTCCATCTTCAGAGCAATCTGACTATTATAACATTAGCGTTAAGAAAGCTTACTTAAATATATGCCACAACATAAGTAACCGGATCAGAGTAACATTAAGTAGGCCTACAGTCCGCGGCATATCACTTCATAATGTATCATATATCTCCTTATCTGAGTCAGCTGAGCCGTATCTGGCCGTGCAACACTCACAGTGTCACATACTGTATGCAGAAGTATTATTTTAAGCAACACATTAAGTTGAGGAAACACTCGAGTCAAACGTTGTGTCCTTGGGCAAGACACTCTACCCGCATTTGCTCCTGTGGGTAATCATTTCATTTCATTTCAAACCTTTATTTAACGAGATTGGTCCCATTGAGATCATAGATCTCTTTTTCAAGGGAGACCTGCAATGTCCACAGTAATGACATTTACATGTCCAATATGTGTAATATGTATTTGTAAAGTGCTTTGAGCACCTGTAAAAGCGCTCTAAATAAAAAATGTAATCCATTATTATTATTATTATTATTATTAAAGTCAGATCCACTCGTGTCTTAGACGGGGCAGTGATATCATAAACCTGTTAATGTACGCATTCAAACACTTGTTCTGTTACCAGCTGTATTCACCTTGCAGGTGCAGCTCTGTGGCTTTGATCCTGGATAAAGTGTTTAAGTCATGGATGTTTAAAGTTTAACTTCTTCATATGTCTAATATTATAGTTGACTTTTCATTCAGGAAGTATGACGCTGCGCTGTCAGTGCGCTTCTCCATGTTTGTGATTGGTCGAATGCTCCAGATACCACCCCTTTCATGTGAACGTGCACCTAACTAGATAGGACACGGCTGGCTTGAGCGATCCACTTGATAACCAGCGTCGTAGTACAGTTTAGCGAGAGCGCGTATGTTTTGGATTAGGCCAACCGGCTAACTCAAACATATCCAGGTTAGGTTGAACCAGCTTCGTAGTACAGGCCTCAGGGCTGGGACGGGATCAAGCCAACCGTTTATCTAAAACACTAAATGAATAGGGTAAAACTGAAATTAAGCGTATCTCTCAATATGTTACGTATAATCCTTCATTACAAGAAAATAAATGTGTGGAATCAGTAAGTGGGTTCAATTAATGATTAATCCTATTGTTCACATTTGTTGTCTCTTCCCTGGAGGTTCGTTTACAACCTGTATGATGGGCTGAGTGACCCTTTTTCAAAATGTTGCCTGGTTTGTACATCACTGATGGCCAACAACAAAAGAGAAAACCCAGGTTATAATGCATTGGATTTATTTCTAAACAACTACACTAGAACACGCTCATTTGTTTCATGCGGGATAAAAGTGTGACATATTGATGTTTTGCTCTTGTGCTGCACATTAAAACTAGAAGACAGGATGCCAAACAAGATTGAAAGAACAAGAGAAGCTATGCATAGAAGAAATGTAATTCCTAGGGTTTTTACTTTGAAGTCATTTCTAGATTTGACAGCTACATGGATTTAAGGTCGTACATTTTTGTTGGTTAGACCTTTGAAATGTTGGTTTAATCTTTTCTCCTCCAAATGTTTTCTCCACTTGTTTGTTGCCTAAATCACTTCCTTAAGGGTGTCAAACTGTGCCAAACATCTCCCTGCCTCCCGGCCCCCACTACAACACAAATAGATTCCATCGCCTCGATTTTTAAATGTCAGCCGGCAGAGGGAAACATTGTAATGAACTCTAGAAGGGTGAACACATGTTAGAGCACTGAAGGGTCAGATGTATAGTGTCAGGCTGCTCTCTGGGATCATGTCTCAGTTACTGCAGAACAGCTGACTCATGATGTGGTTATAGGGACGAAGACTTCTGTAACAGCAGCAATGTTATATTAAGATTATTATTGCTCCAATATTGAGCTCGATGAAAGCAGCTTGGAGCCTTTCACAACAATAAAAGAGTCAATGAAAAGTTTGACTGGCAGGCAGGGGGCGGTGTGTGTGCTGTGTGTGTTTTCATTGAGGTTTGAGTGCTGATGTTCTCTCCACATGTGGTTGTTTTAGAGCTCAGGGCAGAACCAAGATATATTTAGTTCAGATCTTTTATACAGCCCTGAAAGGTTTGGTTTGATGCATCTTACCTAAAAGGATAGTTTCCTTTCATCCTGCTCTTCAGTCAATTCACTGTGTAATCATTTTATTTTTGTATTCCAAAGGTAGGCAATCAAAGCAGTATAGGTATCACCATGGTGATGGAGGATATGTTGGGATGAGTCTGTTAGTAGAGAGCATGTTTCAGTTTGAAGTGTAAAACATGAAAGCCTGTCTGGAGGTTTGACAGGCTGACCATGTAACAGCAGAGAGGAAGGACTGTGGCTCTGATCAGACCTGCAGCTTGTTATTTTGTCCACAAACAAATCACCTGGTAACTTAATGAATTTATCTTCTTTTAAGGGATAGTTCAGCTTTTTGAAAAATACAATTTGTATCTATAACAGGACTTCATTAAGGTCAGCGTGAATCTCATGTCTGTTTAGCTTAGCTTAACATGAAGACTGGAAGCTGACAGAAACTGCTACCCTGGTTCAAAACATGCCTACAAATAAAGGAAAAGCGGCCTGAAAGCACTTGATTGTTAAGTCTGTGATGCTGTCTTTAACCAAGATCACACCTGACTTTTGTGGCGCATTTTATTCTGGCGAAACATTCAATGTATCCCAAAACTGCAGCTGATAGCAAATGTGTACAGAGAGCAGCCATCACACCAGACTGAACTTGTCATGGTTTTGGATTTATGTTTTCATTTTCCACCTTTTGCTTTGAAATGTTTTCCTCCTTGTGTCTTGTCTGATCCTACTCCCTGTGTTTGCCTCCTGTGTCTGATTGTGCCTCATTGTGTTCACCTGTTGCCCTCGTGTTTCTCCTCCCCTGTCAGCTGTGTCTTGTCCTGTGATTACCCTTCTGTGTATTTAGTCTTGTCTTCCCCTGTGCTCCATGTCTGTTCGTCGTCGTTTCATGTCCCTGCTACCTGTCGTCTATGCTTGCCCGTGTCTCCTGCCTGTTCCCGTCTGTAAGTTTGTTCCCGTCTGTCGTGTTCCCCGGTTTTGTTTCTGTTCATTAGTTTCTTGTTTTTTCATGCCTTCGGCTTTTTATAATAAATCTCGCTTTTTGATAAGAAACCTTTATTTTTTTTTAAAACTGCACTTGGGTCCTATTTCCCCAAACCTGACAGTAAAAAAAAAAGGTTTCTTAACAAAAAGCGAGATTTATTATAAAAAGCCGAAGGCATGAAAAAACAAGAAACTAATGAACAGAAACAAAACCGGGGAGCACGACAGACAGGAACAAACTTACAGACGGGAACAGGCAGGAGACGACAGGTAGCAGGGACATGAAATGACTACGGGAAGACAAGACTAAATACACAGAAGGGTAATCACAGGACAAGACACAGCTGGCAGGGGAGGAGAAACACAAGGGCAACAGGTGAACACAATGAGGCACAATCAGACACAGGAGGGAAACTAACGACAGGAAGGCACACACAGGGAGTAGGATCAGACAAGACACAAGGAGGAAAACATTTCAAAACAAAGGTGGAAAATGAAAACAAAAATCCAAAACCATGACAGAACTGATTTGTTCAAACAGGTCACTGTTTATTTGTAAGCCTTTAATGCTCAGGTCTAAAAAAAAAAAACTCACTGATATGCTTTCTTTCCTATCTGATGCAAATTGTTTGAAATGCTTGATTGATTTTATCTTTTGCTTTTTGTGGTCAAGTATGTTGCATTGTTCTCAGTGAAAATACATACCTCCATAATCTCTGATGTGTTTTGGGTTTATTGTGTTCACTCACTTTAAGTGTTACAGCATCTCTACTGAGACGAGGAATCAATTCTAAAAGGGAAAACATATTAGTCAACCTCATTTATTTCATGGGAGCCCTGGCCTCAAACAAACAGGAAGGTTATATAGTTTGCTTGACGATTTGATTGACAGTTTGACACCCATAAGGAACCAGAGGCGAGCACTACTGTCATCTCTCTAATCATATTTCATCACTGCGGGTTCGCTGCATTATATGACGTGTCCTCCATCGATCACAGCGTATAAATATTGCTTTTGAGACAAATGCAGGCCAGATATATTTCATGAATGAAATTTGTGCACTCTTTGCAGGCTGACCAAAGAGCCAGCGATGCATTATCAGGCAGATTGGGGGGGTCTCCCCAAATAAGCTGCACATGATCCAGCCCACGTTCCCCCCAGCTCAGGGGAACACCTGCTCCCCCGACATGCACAGGCCAAGAGAGATGCCGTGCCAAAACCAAAGTACCTGTTCTCGTTTTCGTTCTCGTTCTCGTTTTCATTTTCATTCCTGTCAGGGACAGATGACCCATTTCAGCGTGGGGGAGAGAGAGGGTCGAGTCGAGAGGAAACAGGGGAGACAGCAAGAGAGAGGAAGTGTAGAGACAGAGAGAGGCAGGAAGGAGCTCCACATGAAACATGCATGTAAATACTGCATGCACACAAAAACACACACACACACACACACACAACACACACAGAGCTGGAAGCTGGGTGTTGAGGGCTGAGTAAAGCAAAGACCTTGAGTGTGAGAGACGGGCTGGGTGTTAATGTTATTTAGAGTAATGATTGATTAGATAACAGGCAGGGGCCACACACTGGAGAGGGATTCATCAGTGTTAGGCACAGCAGCGCTCAGATGATAACAGAAACTGATTGTGCCTCTTTTTAAGGTTCACTGAACCCTAATCTGATCCATCTTGTGAATGTCAGTGCCACCAGACGCACTGCTCTGAAAAAACTGAAACATTGACTTTAATCAAATGTATTATAATACGTTTGATTAAAGTAAACAATTACGTTTTATCAGTGTGTTTTGTCAATCAAATAATGCTATTTTATATAATGCTTTAATTAAAAACAACCTACATTAGAGCATAGCTTCACAATGATAAGCCATTGCCCGAAGCTGTTAGGTGGTATTCATAATGTCAACTTAAGATTCAGAGGCCTTGTCTTATTCCACGGTGTCTACAATAAAAGATAAAAGCTTGTGTCACTCTCACACAGCTGAGTGAGAACATGTAGTGGTAGTATCTGAGATTTAGAAGGCAGGTTAAATTGAAAAGTTTTTAGTCAGAGTGGACAGATACAGAAAAGACAGACTCATTCTTCATAAAGAAGAGATCAGTAGGACCTGGAAGGAGCAAAAGACACATCACTTACACAAACTGTACACAATATACTATATATAGAAAAAAAACCTACTGCACATGTTCAGTAATTAGCAGTATACGAACACAATTGCCTTCTTAACATAAAACTAGGTTAAGGAACTGTGTGCAGAAAACAGTCTAAAAATGTCAAACAGTTGTCAACTCTACAACTTGCTTTCTGTGATAATCCTAACTCTAACCCTAATCCTTCTCTCTAAATTAGCAAACAACAAATGGCTTTGGAACGGCAGATGTTGAATAATGATTCATAGAAATACAGTTGTGTGACAGACATTGTTTCTGCCTTAGTGATGGAAGGAGCCATATTTAGCATTATTCATAAGCATCGTGCCTGGCACTTCTGTGCTCTGAAACGGCTTTATTATTACAACTTTGTCTACTTTGATCTGGATTTCTCAGATGAAACCCTCCTCTGCTCGCATGACCTACTGCTCGCATGACCTACTGCTCGCATGACCTACTGCTCGCATGACCTACTGCTCGCATGACCTACTGCTCGCATGACCTACTGCTCGCATGACTTACTGCTCTGCTACCATGACCTACTGCTCGCATGACCTACTGCTCGCATGACCTACTGCTCGCATGACCTACTGCTCACATGACTTACTGCTCTGCTCGCATGACCTACTGCTCACATGACCTACTGCTCACATGACCTACTGCTCACATGACCTACTGCTCGCATGACCTACTGCTCACATGACCTACTGCTCACATGACTTACTGCTCGCATGACCTACTGCTCACATGACCTACTGCTCACATGACCTACTGCTCACATGACCTACTGCTCGCATGACCTACTGCTCACATGACCTACTGCTCACATGACTTACTGCTCGCATGACCTACTGCTCACATGACCTACTGCTCACATGACCTACTGCTCGCATGACCTACTGCTCACATGACTTACTGCTCGCATGACCTACTGCTCACATGACCTACTGCTCACATGACCTACTGCTCGCATGACCTACTGCTCGCATGACCTACTGCTCACATGACCTACTGCTCACATGACTTACTGCTCGCATGACCTACTGCTCACATGACCTACTGCTCACATGACCTACTGCTCGCATGACCTACTGCTCGCATGACTTACTGCTCACATGACTTACTGCTCTACTCACATGACCTACTGCTCACATGACCTACTGCTCGCATGACTTACTGCTCGCATGACCTACTGCTCACATGACCTACTGCTCGCATGACCTACTGCTCGCATGACCTACTGCTCACATGACCTACTGCTCGCATGACCTACTGCTCGCATGACCTACTGCTCGCATGACTTACTGCTCGCATGACCTACTGCTCACATGACTTACTGCTCTGCTCGCATGACCTACTGCTCGCATGACCTACTGCTCACATGACTTACTGCTCGCATGACCTACTGCTCACATGACCTACTGCTCACATGACCTACTGCTCACATGACTTACTGCTCTACTCACATGACCTACTGCTCGCATGACCTACTGCTCGCATGACCTACTGCTCACATGACTTACTGCTCGCATGACCTACTGCTCACATGACCTACTGCTCACATGACCTACTGCTCACATGACTTACTGCTCTACTCACATGACCTACTGCTCGCATGACCTACTGCTCACATGACCTACTGCTCACATGACCTACTGCTCACATGACTTACTGCTCACATGACTTACTGCTCACATGACTTACTGCTCGCATGACCTACTGCTCACATGACTTACTGCTCGCATGACCTACTGCTCACATGACTTACTGCTCACATGACTTACTGCTCTACTCACTTGACCTACTGCTCACATGACCTACTGCTCACATGACCTACTGCTCACATGACTTACTGCTCACATGACTTACTGCTCGCATGACCTACTGCTCGCATGACCTACTGCTCGCATGACTTACTGCTCGCATGACCTACTGCTCGCATGACTTACTGCTCGCATGACCTACTGCTCACATGACCTACTGCTCGCATGACTTACTGCTCGCATGACCTACTGCTCACATGACCTACTGCTCGCATGACTTACTGCTCGCATGACCTACTGCTCGCATGACTTACTGCTCGCATGACCTACTGCTCACATGACCTACTGCTCGCATGACTTACTGCTCGCATGACCTACTGCTCGCATGACCTACTGCTCGCATGACTTACTGCTCGCATGACCTACTGCTCACATGACTTACTGCTCGCATGACCTACTGCTCACATGACTTACTGCTCGCATGACCTACTGCTCGCATGACTTACTGCTCGCATGACCTACTGCTCACATGACCTACTGCTCGCATGACTTACTGCTCGCATGACCTACTGCTCGCATGACTTACTGCTCGCATGACCTACTGCTCGCATGACCTACTGCTCGCATGACTTACTGCTCGCATGACCTACTGCTCGCATGACCTACTGCTCGCATGACTTACTGCTCGCATGACCTACTGCTCACATGACTTACTGCTCGCATGACCTACTGCTCACATGACCTACTGCTCGCATGACTTACTGCTCGCATGACTTACTGCTCGCATGACCTACTGCTCACATGACCTACTGCTCACATGACCTACTGCTCACATGACCTACTGCTCACATGACTTACTGCTCACATGACTTACTGCTCGCATGACCTACTGCTCGCATGACCTACTGCTCGCATGACCTACTGCTCACATGACCTACTGCTCGCATGACCTACTGCTCGCATGACCTACTGCTCGCATGACTTACTGCTCGCATGACCTACTGCTCACATGACTTACTGCTCTGCTCGCATGACCTACTGCTCGCATGACCTACTGCTCACATGACTTACTGCTCGCATGACCTACTGCTCACATGACCTACTGCTCACATGACCTACTGCTCACATGACTTACTGCTCTACTCACATGACCTACTGCTCGCATGACCTACTGCTCACATGACCTACTGCTCACATGACTTACTGCTCGCATGACCTACTGCTCACATGACCTACTGCTCGCATAACCTACTGCTCACATGACTTACTGCTCTACTCACATGACCTACTGCTCGCATGACCTACTGCTCACATGACCTACTGCTCGCATGACCTACTGCTCACATGACTTACTGCTCGCATGACCTACTGCTCACATGACTTACTGCTCACATGACTTACTGCTCAACTCACTTGACCTACTGCTCACATGACCTACTGCTCGCATGACCTACTGCTCACATGACCTACTGCTCACATGACTTACTGCTCACATGACCTACTGCTCGCATGACTTACTGCTCGCATGACCTACTGCTCGCATGACCTACTGCTCGCATGACTTACTGCTCGCATGACCTACTGCTCGCATGACTTACTGCTCGCATGACCTACTGCTCGCATGACTTACTGCTCGCATGACCTACTGCTCGCATGACTTACTGCTCGCATGACCTACTGCTCACATGACCTACTGCTCACATGACTTACTGCTCGCATGACCTACTGCTCACATGACTTACTGCTCACATGACTTACTGCTCACATGACTTACTGCTCACATGACCTACTGCTCACATGACCTACTGCTCACATGACTTACTGCTCACATGACTTACTGCTCACATGACTTACTGCTCACATGACCTACTGCTCACATGACTTACTGCTCACATGACTTACTGCTCACATGACTTACTGCTCACATGACCTACTGCTCACATGACTTACTGCTCGCATGACCTACTGCTCACATTACCTACTGCTCGCATGACCTACTGCTCACATGACTTACTGCTCACATGACTTACTGCTCACATGACCTACTGCTCACATGACCTACTGCTCACATGACTTACTGCTCACATGACCTACTGCTCACATGACTTACTGCTCACATGACCTACTGCTCACATGACTTACTGCTCTACTCACATGACCTACTGCTCACATGACCTACTGCTCACATGACCTACTGCTCACATGACCTACTGCTCACATGACCTACTGCTCACATGACCTACTGCTCACATGACCTACTGCTCACATGACTTACTGCTCTACTCACATGACCTACTGCTCGCATGACCTACTGCTCGCATGACCTACTGCTCACATGACCTACTGCTCGCATGACCTACTGCTCGCATGACCTACTGCTCACATGACCTACTGCTCGCATGACCTACTGCTCGCATGACCTACTGCTCACATGACTTACTGCTCTACTCACATGACCTACTGCTCACATGACCTACTGCTCACATGACCTACTGCTCGCATGACCTACTGCTCGCATGACCTACTGCTCGCATGACCTACTGCTCGCATGACCTACTGCTCGCATGACTTAGTGCTCACATGACCTACTGCTCGCATGACCTACTGCTCACATGACTTACTGCTCTACTCACATGACTTACTGCTCACATGACCTACTGCTCACATGACCTACTGCTCGCATGACCTACTGCTCACATGACCTACTGCTCGCATGACCTACTGCTCACATGACTTACTGCTCTACTCACATGACCTACTGCTCACATGACCTACTGCTCACATGACCTACTGCTCGCATGACCTACTGCTCGCATGACCTACTGCTCGCATGACCTACTGCTCACATGACCTACTGCTCACAAAGCTGAGCTGGCCCCAGTAATAGAGGGCTTTCTAAAGGACAAAGTCTTTGAGCTGAGTCTCTCGGCCATCGTTCAAAAGATCTCTATCTGCTACAATGACTAGAGCCACCTTGATATGGCCACCATGCCAGTAAGAATATTCAAAACAAGGTTTTCATTTACAGTGAGACATCTAAGGTTTCGTGCAGTTTCAATAAATAGCAGGTCTTTCTGATTTTGTTGGTTTAAGACTTAGTAATGATCTTCTTTTCAGTGCCATACTGAATCTTTGCTTGTTTTATTAAGCTAACCTATGTACCCTTTAAACATGCATTTCAGTAAACACACACGCCATTGCCTGAACTGGCTCAAATACCTCTGCATTTTAATTAGTACCATAATCCTCACACAGTATTAAAGATAAGACGTGGCACTCCTACTTAATAATCATACAACCAAGTACATTTACAAACATTCAAGTTAACTTCCAATCATTTCAAAGGGAAGCATTTAAAGAAAGTTGGGTTTTATACTTACTGGTAATCAAAAGATCCATCCTGGTCTTTGTGATCCACTGCGTCCAACGCCATATCTTTTTTGTCACGGACTAAATAGAAAAGAATCAAAGTAACATTTTAGGCATTTTGCTGAGAGCTGCACTGATGGTTAGATTTGACACACAAACACTTCCACGTGTTGAGGGGTTCATAGAGTTACAGTCATTTGAGCAGTAAATCCTTCTGTTTAGTCCTCAAATGATCATTTAATTCCATATGTTTGTCTTCAACCTTTATTTTTTGAACTGTTAGCAAACACCGCGTCTTAATTCCATACTTAGCTCCTAATCAGTGATAAACTGATTTCATAAAGCAAACAAATTATGACTTTGCACAACTTTGGCACGATAAATGAATGTATTCACTGAAAGGACATGATACAAGATGCTTGCTTATAAATGTATTAACTTTATGTAATTTAACTCATGACTTATTTTGACTATTTTCTAAGCTGCTGAATTTATGTTTACTTAAGCATGCATTAGGAACTCAGTTTAGTTGCAGTTATTCAACATTATTGGGTTTGGGGTAAGGTGTCACAGTCCTGCAGTCAGTAGTGAAAATACCTTTTACTCCAGTAAGTGTGGGAACTCATCTCATTAGTCTTTTTCTTTTGGGTTATATCCTTAGTTGACTTATTACTGGGTGTTAGTTCTTATCTTTGACGGCATCACCGTTCAGCACCTACCTAGACATTTTGCAAAACCAGTCACGCAACCACCACCTAGACATTATAGAAACTGCAAAACATTAACACGAATAACTTCTGTTGTTCCAAACCATCAATGATCACATTTTAAATCAGCAACAATGGGGAATTACAACAGTTGTTTTTAAGGCGCATTTTGAAAAATCAGTAGACGGAGTAACACAATTCACAAATGTACACCGGTAAACTCTGACCTGTGAAACCACCATTTATTATGTAAGTTAGTCTGGACCTGGTACACAGCTTTTTCCTGTGCCAACATGTGCTGACATTTTGAATATTGGTCTGTTGTTTTCCCTCCAGGCAAAGGATGAAACCTTAAGAATAA